CATCCTGCTCAACCGCCTCAATAACCATCTGGAACAGGGCCTTCTGCCGGAAAGCCAATGCGGCTTCCGTCGTCATCGTGGGACCACGGATATGATCTTCGCCGCCCGCCAACTTCAGCACAAGTGCCAGGAGATGCGGACCCACCTGTACTCTACCTTCGTGGACCTGACGAAAGCCTTCGACACGGTGAATCGTGAAGGACTGTGGAAGATCATGTGGAAATTCGGCTGTCCGGAGCGATTCACTCAGATGGTGCGTCAGCTGCACGACGGTATGATGGCGCGAGTCACGGACAACGGAGCTGTCTCAGAGGCATTCGCAGTGACCAAACGAGTGAAGCAGGGATGGGTGCTGGCGCCTACCCTCTTCAGTCTCATGTTCTCTGCCATGCTGATGGACGCCTACCGCGACGAAAGCCCCGGGATCCGCATTGCCTACAGGACGGACGGTCACCTGACGAATCAACGGCGGATACACTTCCAATCGCGCGTATCTACAGCAACCGTCCACGACCTTCTCTTCGCCGATGACTGCGTCCTGAACACCACTTCGGAAGAGGAGCTGCAACGGAGCATGGACCTATTCTCCGCCGCCTGCGAGAACTTCGGTCTGGTCATTAACACGCAGAAGACGGTGGTGATTCACCAACCGCCACCCAACTCAGCCACAGCCTCCAACGCGCCGCCGCAAATCAGCGTGAATGGGACCCAACTGCAAGTGGTAGAGAACTTCCCGTACCTGGGAAGTACCCTATCTCGCAACACAAAGATCGATGACGAAGTCGCCAACAGAATCTCGAAAGCCAGTCAAGCCTTCGGACGCCTCCAAAGCACAGTTTGGGATCGCCACGGTCTCCAACAGAGCACAAAGCTGAAGATGTACAAGGCCGTCATCCTGCCAATGCTACTGTACGGAGGAGAGACATGGACGGTGTACACGAGGCAGGCACGTCGACTGAATCAATTCCAACTCAGTTGTCTCCGTCGCATCCTGCGGCTGAACTGGCAGGACCGCATCCCCGACACCGATGTGCTGGAACGGACGGGAATCCTGTGCATCTACTCCATGTTGAGACAAAAACACCTGCGCTGGAGTGGCCACCTGGTGCGCATGGACGACGAGCGACAGCCCAAACGACTCTTCTACGGAGACGTCGCGACGGGTTCTCGCCGTCAAGGTGGCCAAATTCGCCGTTACAAGGATACTCTGAAGCCCTCCCTGAGGCGCCTGCAAATCAACCCGACCAACTGGCAAGATCTCGCCCGCGATCGTCCGACATGGAGGAGAACAGTGAAGACGGGCGCTGCTATCTATGAAGCCAACCAAATCGCCGCCGCCAAAGCGAAACGCGAAGCCCGCAAACCACAACTTCGCCCAGTCCGCAACGCCGCCGCACAACCGCTCCCTACGTGTCCTCGATGCCAACGGACATTCCGGGCACGAATCGGACTTGTTGGACATCTTCGGATCAACTGCACCTCTTGAACTGCTCCAGCCATCGTCCCCCCGCCCGCCTCTTCCTCGTCCTCTCTTCCGCCAACTAACTCTGACACTCCTTCTGCACCACCACTTCCATCCTCCTCCTTCTCATCCACTGTCCCAGCGGCGGCCGTTCAGGCTGCCGTCTCACACATCACCAACCCCAACACAACAACCGACACCACCTCTCCCACCTCTCCCGATCCCACTGATGAGGATCAGGACTACACCTGCCCTCACTGCGACCGCACCTTCACCTCACGTATCGGCCTGGTCGGTCACTTGCGAATCCATCGCACAGAGACTGGTGAACCAGTGCCTGGAGCACCAACCTACACCCACCGCACTCGCCTCCACTGTCCACACTGCCCTCGCACCTTCACTCATCGCATGGGTCTATTCGGCCACATGCACATCCACGAGAGCGGCATGGACCGCAGCCTTGACACACCCACCCCGCCGAGCCCCACTCCCAGTTAATCACATTGTGCACCCACCAACCAATCCGCAACCGCCGTCGATGCCACCGACTTTACCACCCCTCACTCCGCCCCTTGCTACTCCTCTTCCTCCTTCACTGCCACAACGACGGCCGCTTCGGCGTCTGTCGCCCACGACCTCACCACAGCCGAACCTGACACAACAACAGGCACAAGCCCTGCAACCTCCATCATCAGACGTGAGGGCCAGGACTACATCTGCCCTCACTGCGATCGCACCTTCACTTCACGCATCGGCCTGGTCGGTCACTTGCGAATCCATCGCACAGAGACTGGCGAACCAGTGCCTGGAGCACCAACCTACACCCACCGCACTCGCCTCCACTGCCCACACTGCCCTCGCACCTTCAGGCATCGCATGGGTCTATTCGGCCACATGCGCATCCACGAGAGCGGAATTGACCACAATCCCGATACACCAACCACGCCCGTCATGCCCAGCACCACCCTCGCACCATCCGTCTGCACCACCACCAACGCCTCCTCTGTACCTGACACTGACACCGCCGGCTTCACATGCCCACACTGCCCACGCACATTCACCTCACGCATCGGCCTGGTCGGTCACTTGCGAATCCATCGCACAGAGACTGGCGAACCAGTGCCTGGAGCACCAGCCTACACCCACCAAGCTCGAATCAACTGCCCACACTGTCCTCGCACTTTCAGGCATCGTATGGGCCTATTCGGTCACATGCGCATCCACGACGACCTGCGGTAGACAAACGCCGGTCACACCACACATCCACACACTCCCTACCCTCCTCCACCAAAAACGCACATAAACACTCACCCACCGACTGCACCAACTGCCACCTTCCACGCAGGTGGGAAGTCCGCATCTCGGCTCGGTCCCCATGCGGCTTCGGCTGCACGGGTGACATGAGTCCGAGACTATCCCGACACGTCAAGCGTCGTGGATAGGAAGGTTGCTGTTCGACGCCCGCTCTCGGCTCACGCAGCTCATCAAGTTGTGTGTGTGTGTGTGTTGTGTGGAGTGGCGGACTGGTGGGCTGGGGACGGGCTGAAGCAGCACCTTCCACGGCCCTCTCACGCAAGTGAGAGTCACGCCTTTCAACCCCCGTTGTGTGAAATCCTGGTGTTTGTGTGTGTATGGGGGACCAGGTCGTGCTGTGGCGCGCGCAGGCATGGTCAGTCGACCATGTCAGATACCGCGCCCATTCCCCACTCCAGTCTGCTGACCGGCTCGGACAGCGGCTGGGCTGTGGAAATGGGAAGGGAGAGTGAGGTCGACGACTCAGCGCACTTTCTCCTCACTATAATCAATCTGACGCGCTTGAAGCTATCACGGTGCGCTAAAAGCCGTGGCTTGGAAGGTTGCCAACTGGCGGGGTAACTTGGACCTCCTCCTTGACTGGAGGCGGTCCGAGAGTCAGGCTGCAATGGCTCCCTTTTAATGTGGCCTTTATGGCACTCCAACCACAGCGTGGGATCCGAGCCAGGCGTTGGCGGCACGCCCAGGTGCGGCCCCAAATTTATGGCTCACCTCACAGCACTCTTCCAGGAGATGTAACGTCAAGGAGAAGTTCCTCAGGATTTTAAGGACGCCCCAATCGTCCACCTCCATAAGCGACAAGTAAACCGTCAAATCTGTGACAACCACAGAGGCATCTGCCTGCTTCCCATTGCCATAAAGATCTTCGCTCGCATCCCTTTAACCGCCTGAACCATCATCTGGAACAATGTCTCCTGCCGAAAAGCCAGTGCGGCTTCCACCGTCATCGTGGAACCACCGACACGATAGTTTTCAGGAGATGCGGACCCACCTCTACTCTACCTTCGTGGATCTGACGAAAGTCTTCGACACGGTGAATTGCAAAGGACTGGGGAAAATTATGCATAAATTCGGCTGTCACAAACTATTCAGTCACATGGTCCGTCAGCTCCACGATGGCATAACAGCGGGAGTCACGAACGATGGATTTGTCTCAGAGGCATTCGCAGTGAACAACGGAGGGAAGCAGGGCTGCGTCCCCGCGCCTGCCCTCATCAGTCACATATTGTCTGCCATGTCAATGGACGCCTACCGTGACGAACTCCCCGACATCGGCGTCGCCTACAGGGCGTATGGATCCCTCCTCATTCAGCGGCGGATGCAAGTCCAGTGGCTTGTATCCACAACCATCATCCACGCACTCCTCTTCGCCGACGACTGCGCCCTCAACACTACCCTGGAGGGGAACATGCAAAGAAGCATGGACCTCTTCTCCGCTGCCTGCGACAACTTCGGCCTGATTATGAACACGGAGAAGATGGTGGTCATACACCAAACGCCACCCAACACAGACCCCCCCCCACAATGTGCCGCAGATCAGTGTGAACAAAACAGAACTGCAAGTGGTGGACAATTTCACGTATCTGAGCAACACCCTTTCCCACAGCACCAAAATCGATGATGAAATGGTCCGCCAGATTTCCAAGGCCAGTCAAAACACAGTTTGGAATCGCCGTGGCCTTCAACTCAGCACAAAACTGAAGATGTAAAAGGCTGTCTTCCTACCGACGTTCTGTATGGAGCAGAGACCTGGACGTTGTACATGAAGCAGGTATGCCGACCCCACGACTTCCACCTGAGTTGACTTCGTCGAATACTGAAGCTAAGGTGGCAGGAGCAGACCCCGGACATGGACGTACTGGAGCGGACGGGAATCCTCAGGATCTACGTTATACTGAGACAACTACAACTGTGCTAGAGAGGCCACCTGGTCCCGATGGATGACGAGCGGCTATCCCAATGACTCCCTTATAGAGATGCCGCGAGGGACTCATGCCGACAAGTAGGTCAAGTCCGGCGCTACAAGGAAACTCGGAAAACCTCTTTGATGCGCCTGCACATTAATCCGGCAAACTTGGAAGACTTCGCCTGAGACAAACCTATGTGGAGGGGAAGAGTGGAGACAGGTAAAGCAATCTTCAAGGCCAACCGCACCACCTCCATCGAAGCCAAACGCGAGACACGCAAATCTTAACTGCCGCCGCCGCCTCATAACCTCAACGGCCAACCACCTCCAAGGTATGCACCATGTCAAGGGATCTTCCGGGCGCTATTTGGACCTGTTGGACACCTCCGGACCAACTACAGCACCTAAATTGCACCAGCTGTCGACTCTCCGTCCACCTATTCCTCGCCTCCCACTCCGTCAACTAACACTGACCGCCTTTTCGAACCACCACTACCATCATTATCCTCCTCCCTCATCACTGTCTCAACGTCTTCCGCTGTGGCGTCTGCCATGCCCATCAACATTACATACAATCCTGACATACCAACATCACCACCAGTGATGAGGACCTGGTCCATACCTGTCCTAATGGACATCGCACTTTCACCTCACACATCGACATGATCGGACACTCGAGAGTCCATCGCACAGAGGCTGGCGAACCAGTGCTTATGGTACCAACCTTAACCCGCCGCCATCGTCCACACTGACCTCGCACATTCATGTCCCCTATGAGCCTATTCGGCCACATGCGTATCCACGAGAGCAAACGCAGGGCCACATGTCACCCTACTAGGTCAAAAGATCTGAAAGCGTGTACCATGCCAGTATCAGCAAACCGTGGTCCTCGAAGCCTGAGATGCACTGGCAGTTCTCTGACACTTGGTTCCCTGCCGGTAGATGCGTTTGCTCTCACGCCTGGTATACAGGTCGTGAGCATGGCTGCCCACTCATCCTCGTTCTTCTGACCCCTGTTGGGGTGTTGTTGTTGGTGTAAAATCCTGGTCAAGTGTATGTTGTGAACCAGGGAATGTGGAGTGGAGCGCCAAGATGCGTGCTCGACCGTGTCATCCACGGGCGCCCTCGCCTGCTTTCGGTTTTCTTGACTCTGTCTTGACATTGGGGCGAGGTGGGGGAGGGGCAGAGAGTGCGGTAGATGCGGCGAAAGTCTACATTTAGTATAAACTGATTCACGAGTAAGTCACTGTGCTCGCTTCACCTGGCTGTTGAGCACACTGTGGACATTGTCGACAACGACAGTCAGTCGTATGTGTCTGTGCGTGAGCATGTGCCTGAACGAGCTGCCAGCATGTTGGGAGCCGAATACTTGTCCGGTCGTTTTTTGGACTGAATGTCCTTGAGGCTCCCCAAAAATTATGTATGCGTCACGGAAGGAACGATGAAGTTTGTTTTCACTGGCAACCCATTTTGTCCTGAAAGTGCTTTTCTCTCTGTACCGATCTTCTCTCTGGCATTTTAGCCAGTCAAGTTTTACGCCCAGACCAACCAAAGAAAACCACGATGATTCTTTAATGTGTCCACCGAGTCTACACTTCGACCAGCAAAGACCGTCTAATGGGACTGTTCGAGAGAGAGAACGAATATCAAGCGGACAAACCCTAAAGTAAGTGGAGGTTGGACAGGGAAAGGAGGGAATACAGAGGTGGACACAACGGATTTGTTGGGTAGAATCAAATCACCACGTATAAACCGTGCTCATAGGGCCTATGCGTTTTGGCTAAACCACTAATTTAACTCAACTGAAAATTAACCAGCTAAGTGTCCACTCGACGGGATCAAAGCCCTGGAGTTACCGGCAGGAAGACTAGCGTTAATGATGAAGATTATGGCCAAGCCATCACCACCGCGGTGGCGACGACTGTGAAGACTCGCTGATTGCCAACGCCAAAGAAGCCGGTTAGCTGAAGTTGGTTACAAGTCCAACGCCCTATGTACCCGACCACAACCGACAGGACAACGGGCCTGCGGCCAGTGGTTAAGGCGTTCGAATCCTAACCAACAAGTCGTGGGATCGAGCCCGAGGCGTTGCACATCTCGGGGCTGGATATGGTCGGCTGACAAGCCAGAAATGGCCATTCCAATCTCCCTTGTCTTTGTCGGTAATGTTACTCTGCCTCTACTAGATGAGTGTCCGTCCAAACCACCATAAGTGCCCAATGACAGGAAGGACAGAAGCGAAGATACAAGGATATTTTGAGGGCTGCACTATGCCCACCACATATGGAGGGGGCGGGAAAAAAGTGACATTTGCAAGAAATACAATAAATCAAGACTACTATCAATCAGAAATGGGCGCGCATTGATCTGTTGGCTTCCTGAGGGAAACAAGCGTGGTATAAACGGCAAAGGCCACGAACACGTAACCAATTAGCAGGCCGAAGTCGACAGAGTTATAATGGGAGAGGAAATGAACGACAAGCAACGCGTTTAGGGTTTATTTTGCCTTCATTCAGCCAATCACAACCCTGACCGCTAGCTGGGACCAGAAGCACAAACATGCGCTCTTGCACGGCGCACATGGTCCACACACGGGGTCTGACAGATGGCTCATAAGCACTTCAACGGACCGAAGTCCACTAGTCCCTCGCCACCCGTCATCCCGTCGCCGCAGACCTGGTAGTCATTCAATCCGAAGTGGGTGCACGCCTATCTATCGGCTCTTCGAGGCAAACAAGCTCTGTATGGGTAGCAACTAGGCGCCAAACCACGATTGGCTGAAAGAGCCCGAGAAAGCACTGTATCGGTCTACTCGGATTCTTTGTCGTCTCCTCTGGTGAAACTGCCATCGTCCGACTAGTTCCCATTCCCCCTTCTTTAAAAACACACTAGGGACTAGCACTCACCGTGTGGACGTCTTTGTAACCATAGCAATAGCGAGAGACATCGCTCAAGGAAGAGGGAGCTACGCAGTCTCAACCCGCAAAACTCGATCGAACGACAGAGGCTCACCCATGCCTGCAGTGCTTGTGACTCCAACGTGGAGTGAGTTGAATGAAAACCGCAATGTAACGGTCGGAAAGCCTGGACTTGCACACGCTGCTTGAAAACATCAATTACCTCGATTAGTTTTATACCACAGCTGCAATCTCAAACCGGCCCCACTTGTTCAAAATCCAGTAGTGACTACTGCCCGTCCAGCAGCAACCTTAACAGTTTAACTGACGAACACTCCACCACACGTTCATAACGGAAGTCAAGCACCCACACTATAAGCACAATTCGGTCACGGTGGCTATTGTCGAATACGACAGTCAATACCATTACATTTGTGGAGAAAAGGTTGATCGAACCCACGGCGAAGGGGGTAAATGAGAATCGACAGAAATTACCTCCTGGCGGTCGAAAGTGACACTGAGAAGGGAGAAGATCGGAAGGTGACATAATAAAATGCACTAATTTGGAGTGGCGGGACCCTTCACGCGATCCCGGATCGAAAGTAAAAAAGGAAATTAGTCGTAAAGGAACGATAGGTCAGCTGTGGGGCCAAGGCGAATTTGCAGTTGCTTCCTCTCCGAGAGGCCAGGAAGACGGAATAATGTCTTTAGGATAAGGTGGAGAGACCAAAGAAGGGTTTGGGAGGGGTGTAGGACACGGGGTGAGTAGCGAGCTCCCCGAGGTGAGGTGCACACAGCCAGGGCGACCTTGAACGGAGCGAAAATCACGTGATGTCGGTCGTGGGGTGGGAGAGTATAGTCAACAGGGGGGGGGGTGTTAAGTGGGCGTAGGACGCAGAAAAAAGATAGGCAGGAGGGACAATGTACAGATGCTGAGAGGTTTATTGCAAGATGCTTAGAGCATGAGGCAATTTGTAAATAAGAAAAGCTGGCAAACGTGATAGGGGCTATTATTGCAAAGATCGGAGACGAGGCGAAGCGGGCAAGGACACAGGGGTGGGGGGACAACACCTAGATGGCGTTGTCAATGTACTGGCCTTCGATCTGCACCTCCCAACTGTCGAATGTGGCAAAGAGATGGCTAAAAGTTGGCCTCTTTTCGGGGACGACGTTCCAGCAGGAGAGCATAATTTCGTAGAGGGTGTTTGGGCAGGGATGTTGTGGGGTGTGTGGGTTTGGCATTCGGTATCCACGCTCCACTTCCTGCATTACCTGTCGGTTGTTCATACCTAAAGCGTGTAGGAAAAGAATACTGCTTGAAACGCAATGGTACGAATTTCCCGACTTTCGCATATTGCGGCAATCTCGAGCAAGACTGATTGCGCTAACATTGTGCACATAAGCAAAGACCCCTCGCCCAGTCGCAACACGTGAGTAAACGACGCATCCCGCAACATCGGCCGGTGAGTCATCCATCAGACGTGAAAACTACGCGGAGTTTAAAAACGGTTGCAGGCTAGTCTGAGACGCAGGCGGATGTGACGTTCTGGCCGTGGATTTGGACGAGTTCCGGTCGACACACGCTTAACAGGACGGAAGCGTCATTTACCACTGACGCAGGGAGGAGGCGTAAACAAGTCGCCTATTGTGAGCTGCTTGTAATGACGACGGCAGCCAAGCATGCAAAGTGTGTATCCACTCGGGAATAATTATTTCTGGTTTGTCTTCCGCCGGGAGTCAGTCAGGCTTAGACCTGAATCTGAGTGGGTGGGTTCGGAAATCTGATGCACCGTCTGCTGAGTAACCGTCTGTTGGCTG